TTCGCCACAACAAGGCAGTGATCCATGAAGGAGTGCATGTGCCTTACTGTGTCCTTATTGCCTTTCCCATTTAGAAGGTAGATCTGTGGACTTCCTCATTCAGTCTGCTTACTTTTTGAGAGTATGTGTATGACAAAAATATATATTTGTAATAGTCTGATGTCCCACTGAAAGCACACCCTCATGTCACAAAGCAGCATTCAGATAGAGCCACTGTCAACGGGGAAAACCAACTGCATAATTTTAGATCCAGCAAGTAGCCCTATAGCAAATAAAATCGTTGCTTCCTCCAGCTCAGTATGGTCTAGCAGGACTGGCAGTGGCTTTTCAGACAGGCTCTTCTCCGGCCCTACCTGAGGATGCTGTGATTGAACTGGGGACCTTCTGCATGGCAAGGATCTACTCTGCTCGAACAGAAGAGCCATACTTCTTGGGAAAGCTCACCTGGTGCCAAGAGGGGTGATTCGGTGGTTCCAGGCAAACACTGTTGATTCCCTCAGGCTTTTTAGCACGTCATCCCATTCTCTGTGTGAAGATTTTCTCCACACTGCTGTTTTTATGCTGAATAGATTTGGGCCGCAACCCAATGAGATGCCCATAAATGTCTGAGCCTGACATCCTCTGCAGGGTGGGATAAGCACATCTTCTGTCCTACAAATTAGCCAAATGGTGATTTTCATGGTCTAGCTGTGGCTTTTTGGACGGGGAAGAAAGTGGGCAGTTGCACCACCAGGACACATCATCTGGTAGCAGCCCTCTCCTTCCATCTCTCCAGAAAATGGTCTTTCCCTGTCTCCAACATGGTTCTTACAGCCTTGGAGAAGGTGCTGGCATGGTTCTTTTCATGTTCATTGTGAGTGAGGAAGCTCAGTTCTGAGACTGAACCTCTTTTCTGACCTCTGATCTGAGGAGTAAAAAAAATCCTTTGGCCCCCTAGATTCTGTCTAGGAGCCATAGGATGGCTGCTATATAATGCTTATCATATTTTAAAACATCTATAAGCTGTTCTTTTGCTTTTTCTTAATTTTGTATATTATTGATTCCTCCTCTCTCTATACTGCTCAGATGGTTCCACGGAAGGATATTTAAGTAAATACATACACAAGTCAGCCAAATGCTATTGACTACAGTGTCCTTTCTCAAAATCATTTATGGGAAGCAAACTCTTTCCTAGATAAGGTGAACATTAAAGGTGCAATTTCATTCATGTTTAGAGGAGACGTCCTGGCTAGAGGAATGCTCTGAATTGTGGGACTTGTTTTCTGAGCAAGGATGCACTTGAGGTCATTCACCACCTAGGTCATCTGGCAGAGGGCATTCAAGATATTCGTTACTGCAACAACAAAATGTGTGTTATATTTTCAAATGCTTTGTGAGAATACTTGCAAGCTTTCTTTAAAAACTCTAGTGGTTATTTATGTGCAATACATTTATGGATTCCTACCTGTGACCATGCAAACAAAATCACTATATAGGAGTGGCAAATTTCACACTCTTCTTTCCACACCAGAACACTATTGAAGAAAGGAATCATGACTTCCTGGTACAGAATTATAGACTTATTGAATATAAGTCAGTATAGCATTGTTAGGTTCCAATTACCTAAGTTTTCATATCAATCTCTCCATGCATAAAATATGGAAAATTATTGCAGCGTTTGGTATGTGGAAAGAAAATTACTTCTTGTTTCTGCTTACAGCTAACAACGTCCATTGAAAAAGCCATTCTTAAAGAAACAGTTGTAATCCGGGAGCCCTTTCTACCCACTAAGAGCAAAACAAAATGCAGCTGATCTTAAGCAATAAATAAGGCCACCTCAGACACTAATTTTGGACACCAGGAAAGAGAAGCACATTTTTAGCTAATACATTTATTTTAATTTTATTTTTTCCTCTTTGTGGGATTTTCTGCCTCAAACACCAAACCATTTTTGCTACCTGTTCTCATTCAGCAAAACATCTCGGGCAAGAAAATTAGTGGTCAAGGTCGTGAAAAACAGAACAGTTAGCCTGTTGTCTTTGTATTAAACAAGGCAGTAAGAAAACACCCTGTCTCTCTCCACACACACACACACACACACACACACACACAGAGTAAAAGAACGTTTAGAATTCTTTACATTTTTTAAAATTAAAGACAGAAAATATGTTTTACACAGCTGCAAATGATGCAGTTATGGCCAGAATAAGTACACAAATACCTACATGCCAATCATATTCATAATAAATACATATATTTTACTTAGAAAATCAGATTGGCTTAGTACCACAATACTGGTGCACAGTATCATTTATTTATTTGTATGCCACCCATTACTTGCATCTCTGGACGGCTTACAACATAGGTCAAGATAAAATAAATTGACAATTCCACTCTGGCTGTGAATTAATAAAATACGAACAATAAAAACCAGTTCCCATTAAAACATATTAAAATATTGATTAAATAAAAAAGTCTTGACCTGGCGCCGAAAAACATAATGACGGCGCCAGGCGGACCTCTCTGGGGAGCGCATTCCATAGTATCTCTTGGTCTGAACATAGATGCACTTATGATCAACATCTAAGGCCCTTCTCAGATGACATTTCAGAGGATGGCAACAAGGGCTTTTCAGCAGTGGTTCCAGCAATGGAGAGCTCTTTCCAATGTTCTTTTTGTATTGTAAATCATATTTTTTTCCAACAAATGGAGAAAATGGATACAATGGAGATGATATGCCTGAAAATAATGGATGGTGAAATAAAGAGCAAGAAAGCTTTATTAAAGATGGTGGTGAACAAAAAAAAAAGTGGACAAATGAATACCATTGAACATTTTGTGTGTAATATCCACCTTGAAGATGTATCACTGAATACACAAACAGAAACAATACCCAGGTAAAGTATGAAAATCATGCCGAGTTTTTCAAACATATAAAAGTTTAAAAGCATAGCATGACATCTAAAAAGTTTAGATGTTTAGGAATGTAGAAGCAGCTATTTTTAAACAGCCCTAAAATATCGAACTGAATGAAAATGAGAACTTCAGAAAGAAACATGAACATATGAAAACCATCTTAACAGAGAACAACACACAGGAATAAATACATAACATGTTGAATTGTTATTGACAGGTGTGTTTGCTCTAAATCTTTTTAAAAAATTGAATGTTATATTGTACATTGTTTTTAATAGGATTTTGTACACCATTCTGAGAGTATTGTGCTAATCGAATGATATAGAAATGGGTAAATAAAGTCCAACAGTGATTAACCATTATAAAAGGTTTTATAACATGCATATTTTTGTGATAAAAATTAGAAGGGAAACAAAGGAAGTTGTACAAGTTAGAAAGTAACATTAACAAAGGAATACTTTTGAGAGAATCATTGTGAGTTGTAGTTGGAGTACAAGCTAACACTGGCGAAGCTTGGGTACAAACTTCCTCATAGTCTCAAAGCTCATTGGGTGGTCTTGTATCAGTCTTTATTTCTAAATCTAATCTATAGCTCTTTTGAACATTAAATGGGTTGGTAATGAGCATATATGAACAGTGAGATAAAAATAGTGACAACATAGAGCTAGTTCTTACCTCAAAACTTAGAAAGGAAGAGGAGAAACCTGCCGCCTGACCTCTCCAAGAAACCAGATCTGCCTGAGCGATGCCTTAAGTCTCACAGCCTTGCACACGCTTGTACGAGTGGATGGAGTTATTGCCCAGAGAGCCTTGACCATCAGGCACTAAGCAAGGAACTAAATGGAATGAAATTCCAGGTGCCACAATGCTTTGTGGGCAAAGAGGCAAACAGGCACCAAGTTTTTTGCATGCTGGGACATCTATCTTTGGATAAGGCTGCACCCTCTAAGGCAGCTTTCCCTAACTTGATGCCTGCCGGATGCCTTAGACTACAACTCCCATCACCCACAGCCAGCATAGGTGTTCTAGCCCGACACATTGGGAAAGGCTGCTGTAAAGTGCAGTTGACATACTACATGCAAGCTCTAAAAGACCAGCATCTCATTTGGACATTAGCATCTTCAGACTTCATGAAAGGTCCAGACCCCTTCTAAGGCAAGGTCTTATCTGTCACCCAAATCAGGGTTCTGCAGCACTTTAGAGGTCCAACCACTAGAGCTGCAAGATAAAGCAACTCTGAAATTAGCACTGAGAGAAGGAAGCCAAACAAGTATTTATTTCCAGTCAATTGTTTTGCCCACCTTGGAATCAGAAAGAGGCAAGTAGCATTTGGACTTTTTAGTCTAGCAACACCTAGGCCATATGGTCTAACATGGGCAGAGAACTATTTGTACAGTGAGGGCTGTGGCCAATTCCATTTCTCCCACACAGGGTGGAAAGACTAAATGCAAGCTGGTATTTTGGCAGGTAAACCCAGGCAAGTCCACACCATGTCCATCATAACCACCATTCCAAGATTCAGAGACTCCTTTGGCTTGTCAAGGGTCATTTCTTCAATGTGGCACCTTCCAGATGCTCTGGCCTACAATTCCCATGTATGACCATTGGGAAAATGGATCAGCACATCCCTTTTTTAAGAAAAACTAATGAGTTGCATGCAGAGCTTCCCTAGTTCCTGTCTACAGCGTTGCTCCTGATTAACTTTCTTCAGTCTGACGCTCTCCAGAATCTGCAGCCATCAGGAGGGCTGTTATTTATATATGATAACGGCAAAGGAACTGTGTTTCTTTTTCTTGGTATGTATTTGAGCCACTGAATCTTAGCTTCAGATTACATTTGTTAACATCATCTATCAAATACAGCACATTTAACACAAACCTTTCAGAATGTCTACTTTTATTTGTCCAGGGAGCCAAGAATTCAATAGACTTCTTTACAATAGGCAGGCACCACTGAGAGAGAGAGGAGAGAAAGCACCACCTTTCTTCATGTCCATACAGTGAAAGAGTGCTTTTTATCTTTGAGGATATCACCCCCTGCTGGAACAGTGCAGTCATTGCAGTGCCTCTTCCAAAATGAAATAGATGCTACTTCAAGCAAAGAAATGGCTTAACAAAGGTTTTATTTGAGAGTAATTAGAGGTATACAGATCTCTTTAAGAGCAGAATTGGAAGAGTTTGCATAGTTTACAAAGCCAACAACTTTCCTTTCTCCCTGCATTCCTTTGCTATGTACCGTCTTACATTCATCATAAATACCAGCATGTGTCTGTATTGCTCCTTAAGGAACGGAGGAGGCTGTCTTAGCTAGATGGACCAGGCGTCTGATTTTATGTAAGTTTTGTCTACACAGGCTTTACAGGAACTCTCCAAGGAGAGAATTTTTCCAGTCCTAGCTGGAGAGGCCTGGACTGAACAAAGGAACTTCTGCATTTGAACAGGGCTCTACCACTGAGCCCTTCCCAACACAGTCCTAGCCATTTCCAGGCCTCAGTGTCAACCGTACTAGGCAAGATGGTCTGCTAATCTGACTCCATACAAGATATTTGTTTCTTGGTTCACATGCACACACCTTCCTGGGCTTCTCTCAGATCTAACTTAGCATCCATTACATGGTGTGTGTAGTGTGCAGCTTGGTATCAAAATCTGTGCAGGAGTTTATTTGCAAACCACGAGAAACAGCTTGCCCACCTAAAAAAAGATGGTTGCTGGTTTAATTAACACGTTCATTCATGTATAAGGGTGTGGGCAGATTTATGTCTTCCCATTTTGCCTGTTACTTTGGACAACAAATTGACAGAGGCAACACAACCACGCTGGGTAACAAACCTACAGGAAGAATACAGGGATAAAAAGAGGCATGTGTATTTTGTGGAAAAACCCTTTAGTTTACAGGCACCCAGTCACATTCTATGCCCGAAAGCATTAAAAAAACTTGTACATATTTTAGAATTAATGATGAAAAACTGTATTTTAATGCCATTCAAGGCTGAACCCCAACATTGACATGTGCCTAAAATGCCCAATGATACGCCGTAAGAGTTTTGAAAAAGCGAATCATGTCTGATTAGCTTTTTCAAAACTAATCAGACATGTCTGAGGGCTGCAGTGTCTACACTGCAAGTCAAAACAAGCAGTCCATGGTGCCACTTTAGAGTGAAGTTGAGGTATTCAAATGTTTGAATGCTACTCCACACTTTAAAACGTCTTCATTTACATCAGCAAGCATATTACAATTTACCATTCTCCCTGATATGTTCAAAAATATTTGCTGGATGGGCCTTCTGTTAAAGTATGAAGATTTACTAAATTCTAACACCCGCTCCCCAAGAAAAACAGTTCAGTCCAGAATCAGTTCCATGCCATGTTGGCTGCTAGGCTTGGGATCATCTGCTGATTAGATGTGTAGAGAAACTTTCAGCCCACAGCATGGCCAAAGATCAGGATGATGGGAATTGTAGTCCACCCCAGGGAGGACCACAGGTTCCATTACCCATGATGTAATGCACAGTACTTATAATGTACCCAAGCCAAGATTTTATTATTAAATTTCTTGAGACACATGCTTGAAAAAAATGAAGGCTAAACGGTATACAGCCCTTGACATATATAACGACTACCAGGCTCGATACATGTGAAAAAGTTTCCAGCAAGAAATCAAAAAAGCAGTAAGAATACAAATGTGCTAAAGAGCTTAAATCACAAGCAATCAAGTTAGTAATGTAAAAATCTTTGGAATTTGCCATGTAACACTTTCAATGTTGTTAAAATGCCCCAATACAGTAGAAATGCAGAGGACTTTGGAATAAGGCGGAGCTTGGTTTCAATGCGGCTTCCTCCCCTTTAGGACATCATCTTTTTCTTACACTCCACCGAGCAGAAAACCATCCCTTCCACTGGCATAAACTTCTGGCCAATGAGGCACTTGCTGCAGCAGGAGCACAGGAAGCACTCGGTGGTGGCATGCCAGTTGAAGCTGTTGTAGCTCACACGCTGAACTTCCGGGTCAATGGCATTGTGGCACCCCTGGCAGACCTAGTGGGCAAACGAGAACACCGACAGACTTTTACATTTTAGAAAGCAACCCCAAAGCTGTGCCTGGGCCGAGACAGAATGATTATGGCAGCAGCCACACTACGACTACTTGTTCTGTTACTGCAGATTTACACCACAGAAACGGCAGTCTCTACTCCTGACAGGGCTCCTAAGAGTGCGCAAGCACATGCATAGATGCAGAGCAGCATTCTCTCTCTTTCTCCCCCCTGCCCACCACCCCCCTTGAGTGGCACACTCAAGCCAGCAAGCAAACTGCTCTTTAAAGATACTTCCACATTTCAAAGACGACTCACTGATAGAACGGCCGGGCTGTTTTTGTGCGAAGCTCTTCCCCACACTCCAAAATTCTATTGGGCATATGGAATGGCTCCCTGAGAGCTCACTAGAGCGACACAGTATGAAAGCCGCACTTGTAGGAAGGAAAGAAATTGACCGAGTCCAGAATCTGGGAAAGCAAGCCCTCAGGGTCACTCCCTGAACTGATGGTGCATATCATACACATAGTGCATAACCTAAATTTTAATTTCATAACCAGCTTTATCACAAAAGCAAGGGCTGACTACCAAACCATGTTGATCAACAGCACTTTCTCTTAGATATTTTGCACATCTGGTAGTTCACATTCTGAATTTGCCTCTGGAGTCATTCTAGCTATGAAGATAGTAAGGACATGGATTTTATTTTGTCAAGAGAGACTGTGCTCAGCATGACATCTGCCCATTGGCAGAACCTGCAGGACAAGCAAGAACGGGCAACATCGGCATGTGGCAAGAACCTCTCTGTTAAATGCTTTCGAGAGGTTTGCACTTGGTGGCAGGATCGTGAAAGCTTGAACTGCGACACCATAATCTGGCTGAATGGCCCAGAACCTTATAGGTAAAAATAAGCCCAGGTAATAACATGCAAATTCCCCAGTGCTAAAATATATGGGTTAAAATGTCTCAGCTGAGTCACAGTAGATGAAATGCAACAACAGCTGATGTCAAGAATTATGAAATTGAAAAAATAGTGTTCATATTTTTATATTGTAATAGCAATTTTATTACTATTACAATATTGGATTTATACCCCACCTTTCTTCTTCCTGAAAGGAACCCAAGGGGGCCCTCTGTTTTATCCTCACAACAACCCTGTGAGGTAGGTTAGGCTGGGTGATAGTGACTGGACCAAAGTCACCCAGTGGGCTTCATGAACTGGGGACTAGAACCCAGATTGCCTGAGTCCCAGTTCCATGTTGTTAACCACTACGCCACATAGAGTAACGTCAACCACACAGTCATGTCTGAAAATACACATGCCAGTGCAAATACACCATTGGTTATTTCACTCTTCAAGATGGACATGATTGTCTAGAAAATCACAGCACTGAAGAGTACTACAGCTTTGCCAAATTATTGTTGAATAGAAATTAAGCAAAAATGCTATCAGGCTATAAACCCACTGAACTTCATGTGACTTAATTCTGAGAAGACATGCAAAGGATTGCACCACTAAGCAAACAACTAAGGAAGTGCACTGTCTTAATTTCATAGCCTAATAAATGAGGGTTGTGGAATGTGTCGCATTCCAGATGATGCTGGACTACACCACCTATCATCTCACCATAGATTTTCTTGGCCAGGCTGATGGGCGTGGCAGGACACCAATACCTGCAGGGTCACATGTACTTGAACCTTGTAAATGAACTGGTCATGAGATCCTGTGCATGTTTACTCAGTAGTAAGTCCCACTGGGTTTAATGGCACTTACTCTGAGGTAATTAAGTCCAGGATTGCAGCCAGAGGGCTTTGCTAGCCTCCTAGGCTACTTCTATACACCTCAGTTTGTTTTGACTGATAATTTTCATTTCTGGAAGACGCTAGCCATGTTCCAATGCAACGGCATGCTGGAATCACTGAGCACGAGGGCTCACTGAACATGGGCAGGGTAGCATGTTTGTGTATGCCGTCCAAGTGCCTCTGGCTTGGATCTTCCTGCCAGCAGAGGGCAGCTAAATTAGCTAGAAATTAATGAGGGAGCAAAATTTTCATTGCATCTGCACTTGTTACCCTCTTAACAAACTAGGAATGGGACTCAAACTTCAGAGCTTGGCTTCAGTCTCTGGTCAGTCAGCAGAGATGTGAAACACTAATCTGGGACCCTGTCCAGGTGGGCTCCTTATACTGAAACAGCTTCCATACAATAAAGTTACCTCAAAATAGCAATTTGGCACATTTGGGAGAAGGCTAGGCTAGATCCCAGCCTTTCTCAACCTGATACCCTTCTGGCGGTGTGGGCTACAACACCCAGCATCCCAGTTGTCCATGCTTTCCGGGGATCCTGAGACTTGCAGTGCAATACATCCAGAAGCACCATGCTCCTAGCTCTTTCCACATATCCATGACATGCAATTAACAAGCACACAGAAGAGGAGAGCTGGCAGTAGCTGGAAGGTGGCCCCATCGTCCACATGCCTGGTGGCATGACTGTATAGGGAAGCCTGATGGATACAGAAACAGAACGAGTTGGATGGGGCCTCCTGATTTTCCTCTGCAACTGAGTTCTGCAACCTGCTGTCTCCTCCACATTATCTCTATGGTGTACCCCAAAGCAAGTCTACTTAAACTAAGCCTCCCTAGAGTTCAATGGAGCTTACTCCCAAGTAAGCACATATTGGACTTAAGTGGAACCCCATGGAGGGAATGCCTGAGAAGGCTTCATGGATCTCCTGCTGGCTTTCTAAACAGAGGCTTCTTGTTGTTGTTTCTGGGTGTGATGTCTGCATAGTATTTGATCCTTTTAACTGCTTGCAAATCACCCTGGGAACATGCATTACTGGGCAGATTAAAAAGCAAATAATAAAGCAACCAGGCAAGCAAGCAAGCTCACAGCAGTACAGCTAACCTCGAGCTAAATTGCCACATCTACTGTTTTAAGAGCAAGGTCACAGACCTGTCTGTTGCAACAGTTTAAAGAGTGGTTCCTCTGTACTTCTGAGTAACAATGCAATGGACCAGCAAGTTCTTTAGAAAAAGAGGATGTGAAGAACTGCGAGGAATTTTCCCTCAGCTGGGTCATTTCAGATGATGGTGAGAGAAAGAAGGGGTGACCGAGCGCTCCAACAAATATTTATGTTCTGAGGGTTGCTAAGCTCCATTTGAGAATTTGAGTTAAAAAACAAGACTCAAAAGTTAGTAAAACATACAAAGAAAGCACTCGTTAAAGAAGAGAAAAAAATCACACAAGAATACTCCAAAGCTTCTGAATAAACATCCTGTTTTTTAAAGCATAAATATGAAAAACAATGGCGTAGAGAGAACAAAGAAAATCCCGAGGAAGTCATTAACTTTGGACTAATTTGTGCACATGGTACAAAAGGTTCTTGTAGATACATTTGCGGCCTTTTATGCAGCAATCTTTAAGGTATTCATGGAGCCCACCCACATGTATGCACAACAGGAGATGTTAAAAGCAATTCAGGAGACCCAAACTGCAGCACAAAATGGTGAAATATCACAAACACAATCTAGGAGACAGTACAAAGGCACTTCCCCTATGAAAGTCTTCGACCAGGAGAGCTGCCCCAGAGGGGAGATTTACAGCCCAGGGGCAACCTGGATACTTCAATAAATTGACTCCTTTCAGGTAGTTTATCTGCTGCATATGAGGCAGAGGATTTTCCCAGCCTAGCCCCCCCTCCCTCCCCGACTTCCAGTCAGGTTGTGGCCTAGCCATTAATAACTGCAATTAGAACAGTTTCTTCCTCCATTAGTTTGGAACTGCATACATTTTTAAAAAAGAGCTTTTGGGCAAAGAATGTGCCAGGGTGTCTATTACATTGCAGGTGTTTTGTTTTTAGAAAAATACAGATGCCTCTTTTCTCCCTGCATGATTTCTTTCAGGGTTGTTACCCACCTTGGTTTGCCTCTGTTAATGTCTTGTCCTAAATAATAGGCAATTTGAAATATTTCAAATTTCCTACCCCTGAAACATGAATGAAATTGCTCATACAAGCAAGAATGACATGGCACCCTCCAGCCAGAAATACCACCCTCAATACTGTAAGCCAACGACGACTAACCTTGAAGACATTTTGTTATTCAACGGTTGTGTGCTTTATGTGCTATCCTGTCTCTGGGTGTGTTGTCTGTGTCTTATTGGGAGGTGTGTGTGTGTTTGTATATGTGTTTATTTTGCATATGAGGTTCCTTTCTTGTTTCTTGGGCAACTTGCGATCCTTGCCAGACTTGTGCTATTTTCTAATTTCTCCAGACAGCCATGTTGTGGTCATGCCTATAAGAGTTTCGCCAATTTTGAGGTGTGTTCATGCGCCCCAAAATGTTGCTGCTCTCTGCTGTAGCATATTCAGCAACCAATGGAAGAAAAATACACCCTTATAACAGTTTGAGCACCCTGATGGCAATAACTGGCATTATTCTTACCCTCTCCACATAGTTAGCACTTGAAGGGAGAAATAATTAATAATTGTACCTTCATACCTTTAATCTTATTAGTGGGTCAATTTTTAATGTACATATTAAATATTAGACATGACATGCTTGCTTATCTGAAAGTTAAAAATGCTATTTTTTATGCTATTTTATGAATTTGACTAGCCTAAAAAAAATCTCCTGTTCCTTCCTCTCATCTCAGCTGAAGGACAGCATATTCTGTTTTTGGAACTTGTAATGCTATTTGCCAGCCTCCCCGATCACTATACAGTCAATGCCTGGAGCAGATGTGGGCAAATGTCAGGTCTATGGGCTCCACTTTGCTGATTTTAGCTAACCCTGTGAGATCTACCAATCAGATCTAGGTACAAAAGACACACACTGGGAATCAGAGGATTCTAAGCCCAGAAACTTGAGTACCAGAGCTGGACGAAGCTCCTAGTAGCTCTGCACAAAACCATCCACTCAGGGTTTCACTGAGCATTCTTCATTTCATTTTCAGCACTGTAAGTGCTTGAGTAAGCCATTGTCTTGTTGCTATTATTCAATTCCCAGGTGGAGTCAGAAAACTTTACAGATCTATTGCAAATTACCCAGATGACTACCATTAGATGTCCATCAACTTTCTGCCTACGGGCATAAGTCCACACTATTGCAATGAAGCTCTATAATATTATGTTTACAAGATACAGTTCACTGACACTTGAGGTACCACATTAATGCTGTAATCCTGCACTCACACATCTGGGAATATGTCCCACTGAATTAAGTAGGACTTTCTTCTGAGTGAATGTATACAAGGATGAATAGTTAAAAAGTCTTAGCACTCAAGATTTTGCTCCTCACCACCCCTTTAGTTATGTCCTTCAGGAAACACACTACTTTAAACAAGATATGGAAAGGCCTGTTTACTTTACACTGGAATGACTTCATATAGCAGTTGCAAATGCCAGGCAAGCCTTACCACAGCATGGTTCTTCACGTAGCAAGGTTTGCAAATCGGCTTTTCGTTAACCATGACATAGATCTCCCCAGCCAAGACGCAATCACAATCAAAGCAGCAGAAATGTTTCAGATGCCAGTTTTGACCTTCTGCCTGGGTGTACTCATTGCTGAATATAAGCTGCAGGGAGACAAGGTTATCAGACATGCATTAGTCTAGCTGTATGGTCCTTCTCTTCTAGAAGACTTGATAAACTAAGGCATCCTTCCAGATCTCTATTCCATCATGACTTCAACATGTTCCACTTAAGAGTTCATCTTTTCCAACAAAATTTCCTCAGGACCTGTGTTAATTTCCTCAGCACATGTGGATGGCTGACCACTGCCTCTCCCCTCAAGGGAGCAGACAAGTCCATTTGTGCATCAAGAAGAATAATACAGTGCATGTGGCAAGTCTGCCATAAGCAGGAGTAACAGAATACGCTTGCAGAGGCAGAGGTACCAACCAACATATGCAATGAACACAAATTCTCACCTGCATTGCTACCTGCACCAAAATTAACAAAGCTGGCCAAGTTCTCCGAAGTCTGGCTCAGCAAATAACTTTGTGGACTTGTTAGATCTGGCCTCAAAATGAGAGTGAATTTTGCAGGAGGACAAAAGAGAGATCTGACTCACCTCGTCACACCCAGCACAGCGGGGCTTTTCACTGTCACAGTAGTGCCGGCCACAGTATAATTTTCCATTCTTCCAGAAGTAGATCATGTCTACCAGCAGCTCACTGCAGGTGCAGCAGACAAAGCAAGCAGGGTGCCAGAGCTTGTCATATCCAGCACGCTCAGCATAGACTGCCGGGTCACCTTCTTTCATGTTCAGTTTGCACCGGAAACAGAACTACAAGAAATCACAGAGTCACACTGGGCTCTCTCCAAGTCATGTCTGTATGTAAGGAAAAGTGTTGCTGAAATATATACTCAGCCAGTCAGGTTTTGGTACAGTTGCAAGCCAAGCCACTCAGCAGATGGCAGCTTTAACAGTGGAAAAAATTATTTTCGATAGCCTTCCCCCAACCTGGTGCTTTCCAGATGGTTTGGACTACAACTCCCTTCAGCCACAGCCAGCATGGCCAATGTTCAGTGGTGCTGAGAGTTATAATCTAGAGCAGCAGAAAGGTACCAGGTTGGGAAAGGCTTATTTAAGTATTATGTATTTATTTATTTATTTATTTATTTATTTATTTATTTATTAGATTTATATCCCACCCAATTATCCAAAATAGCTCTAAATATTCTCAATATTCTAGAAGCACAACCCCAGCACTGAGTAGCTACTACAATCCTTTTGCTTCATATGATCTTTCAGAGGAGAACTGGGATCCAAGAACTGCTTCAAGGTCGGTACCCACAGGCTTTTTAAAACTAGGCTTAGCTTTTACCCTATCTTTCCAAAACCTCCTTCATTTTTCAAATCTGCTTGGGAGGAGGCAAGGAGCAAATACTGCTAAAGGGAAAGCGATGTTTCCTGCTCCCCGGGCTGACAAAACGATTTCACTGGCTTTTGGATCCCCATGTAAATCAGCAACAGAGAAGGGTCGGGTTCACATGTAACACTACATTTCTTCCGCTTTGGCCAGTAGGGGGAGGCTTGAAGCATGTTTCCTGCTTCTTCCTTGTGGCTGCAGCAGAAGAAGGGTGTGGGGGAACGCGAATGCGCCCAAAGTTTCCCAAGGCTCTCTCAGGTAGTGCTAAACTATAGTACAGTATTTATTTGCAATGGGGCTTGCTACTTTCTGGGAACAGTAACTGACACCAAGAGGCCAATGTCCATGGATTTATGATATTTGATTCGAAGCAGGGGCCTTCCTCCACTGAAATTAGCTGGTGGTAGGAGGCAGTAGCTTTTTTCTGGGCCTCCGATTCAGTATCTAACTTCTTCCCTCTTCATCTACCAAGGGTTGCTTTTCTGCACCAGTGTTCACCTTGAAAAGAAAACGATTTCTTCCTGGGAATTAAGGGCTCTCACATAAATATAGCATGCCCACACCGCTCACCTCGAGAGACCAAGTATTGATCTTTCTGTGGGTATGAAGTGTGGCAGAATATAGTTAGGACTTGGCTGCAGCATGGAGAAGATAGAGCAGATTTGTTCTGTGCCCCTCCAGAGGACAGAACGGCCTCTAATGGGCGAAAATAGCAAGGAAGCAGCTTTCCGCTAAACTCGGGCAGCAATTTCTTGGCAAGATCCGTTCGACAGGGTATCAGCAGACAGCCTCGGGAGGTGGGAGGCTCTCCTTTGCTGGGGAGTTTTAAACAGAAGCTGCATAACATTCCTTTAAAGTTCCTTTTTAAAATGTGAAGTATAATCAGTATGATTATATGCTCCCTTTTCCATGCTTCTTTCCCCCCAGCAACTGCCATCAATCCCCAGAACAATACATGCTAGAGCCTCTGCAGCGTCAGTGGAGACTCCAGAGACATTGACTCCTGCCCTGTTACTTTTACCTTGAAGAAAAACACAGTCCTTTTTGACTAAAAAAAATAGAACACACACCACCTACATTCTTACTAAAGCAGCGCAATATGGAAAGGATAACAATTTAAAATGCCAAGCTACAAGAATAAAAATGACATGCTTTCCCATCATTTATCTGAAGACATGCTCCTTATTTACAGCATTACAAAAATGGATATAGACCAATATGCACACTTACATATTGGGACCCCTTCTGGCCCGCCATTTTGTCTTCCATGGCTCCGACAGTGGCTGAAGTGCTCCTCTCTCCATTACTTGGAACGTTCTTCTCCCTGGCTTTCACATCGATGTCGCTTGGGAGCTTGACATCTCCCACTCCCAGCGCCTCATTCTTGTATTTCTTCACAAACTGCTCCATCTGCTTCACCTCATTTGGAGTTAGTTCGTGGCATCTGGAAGGATCCTGATCGTGAGCAGGCAACTGCTTGGCCAGCTGCTTCTTCCTGTACTGAGCTCCTTCTGAGCCGGCCACTGGCTGCTTCTCCTTTGGAAGCATCTGCATATAATGCCTCGCCTAGGGAGAGCCAGGAGGGATTGCTAGCATTAGTTATCATCAGATGCCCTTGAGTTTCCAGCTTTCTAAACATTAAAAAAAAAAAGACGACGACGATGAAGAAGAAACCGGGTGGGGGGGAGGGGGGGACAACCAAAGGGAGATTTCGTTGTCTTCGCAGGCACGAGTGGACACCAAGGTATGGATGGTCAAACTGGGGTGAAATGAAAGTTAGGGTACTGGGCTAATGAGGGGCAGAAGCTGAAATTAAACATTGCACAGCATAAAAGCATTTGTTTAATTCAGGACTGTAATACTAGTAACAATGTTTACCTAACATCGAATGTCTTTAGATACTTACAAGTGCATAAGCTTTCAGATTGACTAATTGCAATCTTTGCTTTTTTTATACAGGGGAAAAGTGGAGGCGGCGGAGAGGAGCAAGATCTTGTGCTTTTTACAGAGATTCTAGGTCTGTTTAATTTAAAACATTTTTAAAGGTGAGGTGTATATTAATAAAAAATGGTCAATATCTGCAAATAAAAATGTTTTCCATAAAATCTGTAAAAAAAAAAATTTACAAGCTGCATGTGGATCTCTAGCCTTCTGCTTTAGCTCACACAGCGTGACATGACAGAAACTTGACTCAAGACTGAAACCAAAAAGAAAGCCAAAAAAGAATCCAAAGAAGGCTATCTCATCTAGATGAACCGTTAATAAACCAAAGGGAGCTTTTCTTTTGGAAGACAACTCTGAATTCATTCTGACCATATACAGTAACAGAAATGGACCGGCCTGAGTGTTTCCTTTAGCTTTTAAACAATGACATAAATTGTGCAGGTTTTCCAGTGCCATGTCCCATTTCTGGAAGTCTTTTTACAACTGCTCATTTGGGAATGCATAAATCATCCTAAGTGGTAGTGAACATTTCTAATGCAGTTTTTAATCCCAGCCATTAACACTACAGCTTTCCCTCACCCACCGCTCCTGCTCACCCAAACACCACTGCTTCTCTTCTTCTCCCTTGTTGCAGTTAATTTAGGACTTGGCTATATGGTGGCTATTTCTATCAGGCAGGTACAAGATGAGAGAACTGCCAGACCTCATTCCACCACACTTATGCTTGCCAATGGAAGTAACTTATTACTGCATCTTTGCCCAACACCTGGTGCTTTCAAGATGTGCTGAGCTACATTTCTCAGCATGGCCAATGGCTATCCTGATGGGGTAATGGGAGTTGTTATCCAAGACATCTGGAAAGCTTTATGGCTGAAGGCTGGCTTCTAGCTACCAAGATGATCATTCTGTTTACACTGGAAAGTCATTCCACATCAACGTAAGACTTGCATCCCAGCTGATCTATATACCCTACAACTCCTTCAACTCTTCCAAAGCCACCAAGAGTACCTTATAGGATATCTCACCAGGGTTTGATTCTGAACTGGAGGTGCCCATTCGTAAGTCACAGTATTGATTGACACATTCTTCTTGGCAGCTATGGGATTAGTCAGTATCATTACGTTGCGCTTGTACATAGGGATCCCATCTGATTTCAGCTTCGCAATGAGGGTTGTATATTTTGTATCCTCAAAGAGCTTCCCCACTTTACGGTCATCCTCATTGCTGGTGGGAACATCGTGCTCCTCTTGCCCACACTTGCAGTTTCGGCATATTTTTCTGGAGGTCCAGAAGACAAAGACAATTAGGTTGCATTCAAATAAACACTTAATAATGTTCCCATCAAGGTGACATGCTGCCCTAATTCTATACTGCTGACTTTTCGTGTATGTCCTCAGCTCCAACCTCTCTGCTGAGAATTCATGTTTAGTCAAAACACAGAATTCAAGTATCCCAATGGCATTCCCTGCTTCATCTTCTAGAATGGACCTTCCTGTTCCTAGATGCTGTTGGACTACAACTCCCAGCATCATCCTGACTCAGCATGGCCAATGGTCAAGTAGGGTGAGACTTGTAGCCAACCAAGTCTGGGGGTCCAAGACTGGGAGATGCCAATCTGGAAAACAGCAGGGAAGACACCTAGGGAAGGAGGGCAACCGGCCTTGTGCTGGTCTGAGCTCCAGAAAACAGAATTCCTTTCTGTTTGGCAGCCACATTCAATGTCAGAGAAGTTCCTGGGGGCTGCGATCCAGTACTATTGAAAATACCTGCATGTATTAGCTTGAGGCTTTTACTGCTAGTGGCTATGCTCTAGGAGAGATATTCCAACATTTTAGAATGGGAGGAAAACATCACAAAAGCCCAGAAGCCACTAAATAACCAGCTGCTGGGGGAAAGGGGGCACTGACTTACGGGGAACACCAGAGAACCAAATCTGGCCCATGAGCCTGTGGTTTAACATCCTCTGATTTACATAAGCAAGCAGCTCATTTAGAAATACTTCTTCCTGCTCCCTCCTCACTAGCAAATTTCTCAGAGGTACAAATTGTATTCCTCCAGTTTGCTCTAGGTGGTATGCATTACTAACTCTCCACCCATATTATTCTCACAACCACTCTGTGTCTGTGACTGGCTCCAGTCCACCAAGTGAGTTTTGTGGATAGGCAGTAATTTGCTTCGGGGTTGCTATGGGTTTATAGGGTGTGGTTGTTGGGCATACCACACCACACTATTCTCACATTACTAGTGATGGGATGCGTGACTGCTGCCTCATTGCAACATGGGCAGCTCATGTGAAAAAGGAGCTCCAGCGGCGTTGTGTTCCTCTATGGGCCATCAATGCCTGCATGGGATGTGCCCAGTCAATGAAGAAATCACATAAAAACATTCCTGGAAGATAACAGGATTACTTCTGCCACAGACCTCAGTGAAATTGCATTAACGGTAAAGGAAAAGGTTTCCCCTTGCTGTTAAGTCCAGTCATGCCTGACTCTGGGGGGCAGTGCTCATCTCCGTTTCCTAGCCGAGGGAGCCAGCGTTTGTCCGCAGACAGTCTCCGTGGCCATGTGGCCGGCATGACTAAACACCGAAGTGCACGGAACGCTGTTTCCTGCCCACCAAAGTGGTATCTTTTTATCTACTTGCATTTGCATGCTTTCGAACTGCAAGGTTGGCAGGAGCTGGGACGGAGCAATGGGAACTCACCCCGTCGTGCAAATTCGAACTGGGATCGTGTGGTCCTTTAGATGGTGCTGGACTACAACCCCCAACATCCACCCCACTACTACCCAGCAGACTCCCTGCCCGAGCTGATGGAGATTGTTTTGGACCTGGTTTTGAGGACTCCCAGGATGGTGGTCTTGGGGGACCTCAATATTCATGTCGAGGTGGCCTTGTCTGGGGCGGTTCAGGACTTCATGGCTGCCGTGACAAACATGGGACCACCTAAACATGTCACTGGCCCATATAAAAGGTCACACGGTAGACCTGGTTTTCTCAACTGGGCAGGAAGAAACTGGCAGTAAGGGGGTTGTTATTTTTTTGTTTTGTTATTGCTATTATTTTTATTTATATATTGTGCTGTGAGTCGTCCAGAGAGCCTCTGGCTATGGGGTGGCCTACAAATGTGATAATAAATAAATGAATAAAATCATCCTTAGCCACTGCCCATTCTGTCTGGAACTGACAGCAGTTTGAAGTCTGGCATCCTAGAGGGCCACACCAAAATGGCTGCATTTGGTTGTTCTCTCCTAAGCCAAATTATGTTACCCCATGGGTAAGCTTGCAAAAAAGCTATCATCCAGTTCCCCAGTGACTTAGGAACACACTAGGCTTTATTTATTTGCATGCCGTCCAATTGTGCCACAACACCTCTGGGTGGCTCACAATTACAAGATAAAGACACAATAAAAACAATAACACCACATTAAAAATAAAATAATAAAATACAAGCAGAAATACAAAAGAAAGGTTATATGGCATTAGCTGTGAAAATATTTTTTGAAAAGGAAGGTCTTTGCCTGGTGCCGAAAAGAAAGCAAGGAATGCGCCAGGCGAATCTCCTTGGGGAGAGCATTCCAAATATGGGGAGCAGCTGCAGAAAAGCCCCTCCTCCTAGCAGCCACCCTTCTCACCTCCTTAAAGGATGGCCCCCACAGGAGCCCCTCCCTCCACGTAGATGTCAAAAGCCAGGTGAACACATATGGGACATTATGACATTAGATGTGCATATGCATTTAATGTGCATAATTTTAAAAATGCAAATGCAGCCCTATCAGTGGCTCTCAGCTGCAAAGTGGAGTAACAGCTCACGCCTGTTGTGAGATATCACCTTCAGAAAGTGGAGAGAACTCTCATTGGCGTCAACCTCTCTCCACCTGTCTGAAGTTCCCATCCTTCTACAGGTTCAGGACAGGTATACACCTTGAAGGTGTATTTGCCAGGCTAACAAATGCACTTGCCAGGTCACCGCTGGCAAGCTGGTGATGCTTTTGCGGAGCCTTGCAGAGCAGAATGGTCCCTTTTAGACCGGATGTTGGCTTTGTGCATCTGAACACAGTTCCTACTCCCTTTGCTGGCTACGGAGTAGCGAGGAGGAGGTACGGAATGACATCATGAGCTGTACAAGTGCCGTGCACACTTCCAATGCAAAGGAAATGAAATAAAACTCTTCATTGTATTACAGCAAGTTCAAACTTGGGAGGGAGGGAGTGAGCAAGAAAGATACTGGTGGTGTGACCCTAAATCACAAGAAACATAAATGAAGCACCTTCTAACCTCACGTTTATTAAATTCCTAACTTACATTTAGGCAATATTTGAATTAGGCTTTATGCATATCCAGGAGGTTTTGATCTTATAGAGAGGGAGTCTACAGCTGTTATTTTACCAAAGCAAACAATAAAAAAGCATTTTAAGAAATAACTCAACAGGGCAGTGAGCACAGCGTGCTAACACATCCTGCCAATAAGCCATGAAAGGTTGGTAGTTGTCTGAACAACTCAGTCTGCCTGACACACGCTGGGGCTCGCTGAGGGTCATCCCTGCTTCCTCCTCAATTTTCCCATGACAGTTCCCAAGAGATTTTGCAGCAGGGCTGACTCATCTCCTCTCCCCCTCTCCCCAATGAGATCCCAAGTCCTTTTTCTTTTCCCGTGCCTTTTTTTCCTTTTCCCATTCCCCTGCTCCCCGGAGAGTATGAAGTGATATCTGAAGCCCAGTGGCAGTGCTTCAGGGTACCCAAGCAGAACATGGGTTGGCTACCTTTTCATTTCAAAGAATGTGCTCCAAATGTGCACAAATTTCATTCTTTGTTAGAAAAAAATGCTAACTTTTAGGGGAAAAATAGACTTGTTGAGGTATGGAAAGCCTTGCTTACATTCCCTCGCCCAGTAGATCCTAGTGCTCCCAACTCTTCCACCCATACCTGAGACCCTAGCTTCTCAGGCATACATCCCGCCCCACTTTCACCACCCTTGGGGCAGCTGCCCGGGTTTGGACAATGTAAGAGCCCATTGTGGGTACACCAATTCCTACAAGAAGCCATGTGTTCTCAGAGGGACTAGATGCTCTAAAACAAGCCGTCCTGTGGGAAGTGGTCTGGGTTCACACAACACGGTCCCCCGCCATGGCTTGTCACCCATGTGGGGTTGTCATGTCAATTGAACCCAGCCAAAGTCTCAGTTCCCATTCAGAGCACTAGCTGCATGTGACCCTGAAGGTAGTCTTGGTGCCTCCATGGGAGAAATAGGATAGCATTTGTGTTGGTGCTCTGCTTATTCATAGGTTATGTTACTTGCAAAGGACTTATTTTGTATATTAGGACTTATTAGCCATACATTTGAAGCCTTTGGGCTTGGGAAGACCAAACTAAAGGCCTTCCAGGACAAACTGTTAACAGCACAAACTAAGTAAATTCATGGATCAAAATAGCGATTGAAAGAAATTCCCAGCAAACTGAAAGTTCTGCCTTTAATACTGGAGGAGGTGGAGATTCAAAATTATGCCCTCTCAGCCACAATATATGCAACACATCAGAATTTGATCCTGACCTGGCACTGGACATGTCAAGGTCATTTGCAAAAAAGAGACCATTGTTTTGTAGTTTTCATGTAGCAGTAACACAAATTCCTCAGTTGTCATGCCAAGAATTTTTCCCAATGGCTTAATGTTATACATCTTTACTTGCAGTTGGCTTGATACTGTCACAGATGTTACACTCCCATCTAGTGGAAAAGAATGTAATTATACTGTAGGCTCTTAAGCAAAAGCCAGTATAATTCTTCCTTAGATAATTTCGCAGAAAGTTGCATGCACATATACCCACTGAGCCCCGTACATAAAGTAGGGAGAAGAATTCCACATTCTGTCATCCCACAGTTCCAGAAAAGCCATTTTCAAGCTTAGTTAGTAACAGACCTTTTCTTAAAATTAATAAAACTCATCTTAATAGATTAACAGTTCCACTTTGAAACAGGAAAGTTACTCAGATTCTGCTGAGCTTTCCCAGAGGTGAGATAATACTGAGAGGGAAAAAAGCAAAACAAAAACTACGTTCTATCCAGATATTTGCTGGAACTTTAACAGTGCGAGAGTAGAATTGTTACCGGCAATGCAAGCAGGTAATGAGTTACTAAAGACAAGCACAAGCATCAATCAATAGCAGCTTAAAGGTTAAGTTACCTCTCGATTGAAGATTTTCCTCTCAGTTGGTAAGTTTACAAACCACACTAAGCTACCCTGCAAGTAAGCTATACAATGTGGGATGTTAACAGAACAACCAACAGCAACAAGTGCTCCGAACAGGAGCTGTGAAAATAGAAAGGAGCTTACATTGCAAAGTGAGAAATCTTCTCTTACAACCCTTTGGGTGCCCTTGTTTTTGCAGCATTTCCTCCTTTTCAATTGACAGCTAGCCAACTAGGCCCTAGCAACTGTGCACAATCTAGTCCAGCTGTTTCCTATGGCACCTTGTTGCTCCCTTTGACAGCTGCAACAGACAACTAAGCTGACCAGACAAGATTTCCTGTATCAGACAGATAAATGTAAATGCACTCTTGTACACTTGCAGAAGACTGATTGGGAGAAAAAGACAGTTCCAGAACTTTCTGGATCTGAAAAACAAATTTAAAAGGGTGGTAAACCAGTGATGGTTAATCTAGTGTGCCACTTGGGCACTGGTAGAGGGGTTGTTATAGGAAGTGACATGGGTGAGATCACAAAGAGTTAACAGGTGGCTTTGCTGTATTGTAAGTCAATACTTCCAATAAAATTGCTCTCCTGGGTTTGGAATACGTGTGAACCCATCATGGATGGAACAACCACTTGTACAAGTTGTCAGGGTGACTTGCTGCCCCAAAATATGCCAACCCGTGGAAAGCAGCTGGATGACATGACAACCTACCATGCCTCATTACCCATGATGGGTTGTTGGGTCATGCAAACAAACTCAGTGTTTAAAAGACAAGGGCAAAGAAACCTTTTCCCACATCTACGCAGTTGCTAGCACAGCATCTGATTAACTGTGGAAACCTAACTGAATTCCAAAAATTAGCAAATCTTTTAAGCTATGGGACTCAGCAATTTCAAATAAATGAACTTGATTGCAAGACTTAGGGTGGAAGATATGAAGTTCAGGCAAGAATGAGTTATTTAAACAATTTTGAAAGGCCCAACAAATTGCAATGATTGTTACCCATTTCTGTTGATAAGAAGTAAATGTTTAGAATTAATAATATATGGGCCTGATCTGCACGTAACATCAACCCATGTTTTCTTTATTCTTGTGCTACCCAGGGTCTGTCTAGCAGATGACTAGGCAACCCACAATTTGTTTTCTCAATGGCTGGGGTGTTTCCCTCTTCTTTGGCCCACTCACTCCTTGTATAACAGATGTCTTTGCGTTTCTGTACCACGGTCAAATAGAGTGCTTCTGTGTTTTGTTTTGGCATTTTACTTGCCTGCAACCTCTGTAGCCTGGTGAAACAACCAATAGTACTGGGCTCACATGTAACAACAGCCCATTGTCTAAAAACAACTCAGAGTTTACAACCGAACAAATAAACCATGGGTTCTCTTCTTGGATTGACCGTAGTTAACAAACCATGGGATAGTATCCAGTGTTTGTCCAATGTTAAGTTGACCCACTGAAGACAATAAGACTTAAGTTAGTCACAACTTAAGCCCCATTCATTTCAATGGGGCTACTCTACATAGGACTAATCTTACTACTGCACCATAGTTTATGAGAACAGCTGGTCATCGTTTGCACATCACAACAACCAGGAATTCAACAACCAAGTGTTAAATAAGCCAAAACTAGCATTGTGTATCTGTCAGTTATCATGACCTGGTAATAAGTAAACAGATTGAACAGATTTGGTTAAAATTTTATGGGAAAAGGGAAAGATGAGGAGAAAGGACTGTTTTTGGTCATTTTCTATTTTTTCCTATTTTTTATATAACCAGCTTGGAACTGCTAGAATGATAAAATTGTTTAGTGTCTGTTTCCTTCCCTGGCACTTTTGATTTTCAAGTGTTCAGTGCAGTCAAACTGCAGTATTATATGAGCTTTGAAACCTGAACTATAGACAAACGAGCATTTAAAAAAAGATGCCCACTCCACATCTGATAGGCAGAAGGGAATAGTCTAACCCAGCCATACTGGGTGCCTCTGTGGCCTGAAGCTTCTGAGACTTCCCGATGCTATACCTGAATGAAGAGCAGGGGACAGGTGAGATGCCCCCCTGCAGGGCTGCAGGTCACGTGAGCAGCTGCACATGCAATCCCATGATCTGAGACTGTACCAGGCTGGTTACACACTGTCCTCTTGTTCCATTCATAAAATATAGTATTGAAAGTAGAGCTTTCACCTGATTAAAGAAAGCTAAGCCTTTATCAATCAGTTAATTAACAATAAAGTTTGCATAAGTAAAAAAAATGAAAACTCTAAAAGAAAAAGCATATTTGTTTTCAGATTGTGTGTGTATGTCACTGCATTAATTATCTTAGCAGAGCAGAGCATGAGAAAAAAGGAGGAAGGCCTCTCAAGCTGTTGACCGGAACCAATTTACGGAGAGCACATTACTCCCTTGTCGCAACAGCTTTGCTTGCTATCAGTCTGTTTCCATGTACAATTCAAAGTGTTGGTTATGACCTATAGAGCCATATACAACCTCTCATACGAGTCAGTCCAGGTCTTATGATCTTCAGGAGAGGTCCCTCTTTTGATACTACCACCTTCTAAGGCATGTTTGGTGGTGATGTAAGAAAGGGTCTTCTCAGTGGCTGCTCCCACTGAGGCTGCGGGATTCCCTGCCAAGGAAAGCTAGGTTTGCTCCTTCTGTGGTGTCCATCTGCTGGCAAGCAGTTCTGTTGGGTTGGGCACTCCTTTTATTCAGCTGTTGCCGAGCTTTTATTGTATTTTAAAGTATTGTTTAAGATTGTTTTAATCAAGATTTATGATGGTAAGCTGCCTTAGTTTCCATACTTTTAGGAAGGTGGTCATATAAATTAAACACATACATAAAATAAAGACAATGGTGCTTGCTGTCTGCAAGTTTTTGTAAGTGCTTCTACTAGAAAACATTCTGGTTCAGAGACGAGCTGTGCTTTGGTGAGCCATAAGTTGCCTGATTCGAATGTAACAGACAATTATGATTTGCCCAAACCAGGAATTGAGGGAGGGAATCGATGCATGTGATGTGAGGACGGAGAGGCAGAGTGAGGGAGACTGCAGACCGTGCAGCTGAAGCTCAGCCCTGGAAAGGTTCAGCCATTCTGGCCAAATGGAGTCAGTATTAGATCTCAGTATTATCAGGCAGAAACAGAAGATTTCTCTAATTTTAGACAAGAAAGCTTGAGAAATAAAATGTAGTAGTTGGAAAATATAGGTTAGCAATGTATTTGGCTGTTGTTGAGCTTTATAGTTTCACTTCATAGCTTTTCATCCTTTACACACAGCCAAGACTGAAATCTCATGCACCCTTCATCTATGAGCAAGCCCAGTGGAATGCACTGGGGTAAGTATATGTAACTTTAGGTTGTCAGAACCCATTTCTCGTTTTATTTATAACCTGCTTCATCTTAGTAAAGCATACTCAATGTGGCACATTGGGGAATTTGAGCAGCGGTAGTGGGCGCCATTGCAAAATGCCCAATTAGTGTACCGACACTTTGGCATCTACCTGTTGCATCTGCAGATTTCAAGCTACATCTTATTCAGCCAAAAACAAACAAAAACAAAAAGACCAAAAACCAAAACACTTTTTCCCCCCATTAGCCACTGTAATGCTTTTTAGCAATTCATTGTGTAATTCAACTAATTACTGGTGGTATGATAGAGCTAATGCTCCTTTTAAACCCATATTTTGGCAATGCCCTGTAGCTGAGAGGAAGAGATTACTGCATGGACAAATCAATATATTCTACATTGGAACAGTCTTAAATATTCACTGATGCATGAATGCTTCTATTTATCAGCTTCATGGAAATCAACAAACAGAAGGGGAAATAGATTCCTGCTCCGGGAAGATAAGCACTCACACTTCTTGTATGATAATGGATTGAAGATCTTACTGAGCTTCTGATATATGAACAGATGGCATATAGACACCACCTTCAAACCGATACTTATTTGGGCCAGGACTCAGGTGAGCTAGGTTCTAGTGCCCACTCAGGCCGAGAAGTGCACTGGATGACTCTGCACCAGTTACTGACTCTTAGACTAACCTACCCCACAGGGTTGTTGTGAGGATAAAATACTGAGGAGTACAATGATGATGTCAACTGCTTGCAGGAAGAGAGGCCGGGCATACACAAACTAAGAAAATGCAGGTGCTCTCAGACACCACAATGGGGACCCCCTGGCCTTGGCAACAAAAACATTTGATTTTCCTAATGAAGATCAATGTCTGGAAGAGTCACATCTTCCAGTGCTGATCTTTCACTTTCAGGCTTACAGATTTCAGACTGGTATGCATGACATTAGTTTTCCTATTCTGTGCCTATTTTGTTTGTCATGGTTTAAGTCCATGTCTGTATGATATACTCAGTGTTTAAAATGCCCACCATTTATCTGCAGTACAAGTGCTCCATTACATAGCAAAATATCGCCTCTTACCTCCAAAAATGTAGCTCAAATCCTTCACATTTATCTTTGCATTTCAGGCACGGGGCTCCAAATCCTTCTTCGTGTCCTAAGCCCATCTAGAGAGAAACAGGATACAGAAACATTATAGAATAATTATTTCCAAAGTCGTTTCTATTTTCTTAGCTGCTTGGTAACTTCCAAATTAAAATAAAAATCCCCTTCACTTTAATCACAGTACCAAAATAAACGATGCTAAGTTTCTCTATGCAAGTGGTACACCTTTTCCCTAACTCTGCCTTTTTTAAAGAAAGGGCTAAATTTTATGTAGCCCTTTAACAAGTTCTGTATTAGGGAGGCTGTAATACCAGCACTGATGTTTGGATTTGTCCGTGAGAGACATGCTGCACCATAACATATGATAAGTGTCTGTTGTGCACATGCACATGCGCAAACACACACACACCCTGCAGCATGACAGAGTAGCATGTGTGGGGCAGTCCCCTGTAGCCAGACCTTGATGACAACTGAAGTTTCCACACGGCAAAGACAGCACATGCGGTCATTAGAGGGATGTGCTGCATTTTGGACCAAAATAGCACCGCTAGCAGCAGAGGTAACAGGAAAGGCAGGAGCTGCAATCCAAAGATGCAATTTAGATGCCATGAAGACCTCAGTACATGCAGATAGAGTCTCCTTTGAAGGCTGGCAGCCAATCATTTTCTTAAGGAGGCAACTTGCCGTTTTTTCAAGAATGACTTGTTATTTCAGCAAGATTCTAACTGCAGAAATTGGCCAGATAGGCTATGAACAATGAGGTTAAATCAAAGGAAATTGAGGTGCAGTTGGCTCAAGAATCAAACCTCACTTGCTACTCAGTTGAGACAGCCTCTACCTTGTTCTGGATAGGAGAAATTCTAAACTGTAGGTTTAGACTGAAATAGAAATTCTAAATTGCAGGCAAGAAACTAGTCCTCGTTGGATAAAGACTCAAGTTTACTTCATCCCTTTCTCTTCAAACCTTGTTGCACAGCCTGAATAGCAAGCAACATGAGGGAAAAGTTTGAACAGTTATGTCATCAACCAAAGCAGAGACTCCAAATTTAGTACTAACTCAGGTTCTGGGGATATTATTTAGAGCCAAGAAAAAGAAAAGGGATTCAAGACAGACCGTACAAAAGCAAAACAAATCTGTTCAGTAGTGCCATGTCTTTGATAATCTGGCAGACTCCAGGAATGTGATATTCATACATATATTCATCTAAGTCTGAAGAAAATAGCTAGAACTGCAAATAGCCACTGTTCTTTCAAGAGCAGACTCATCGGTTTGTTTTCATTTTTTAAAGCTTGGCGCTTGAACCTGAAAGGGAAACGGCTTGTCCAAACAGCTTCTAGGAGGCAAAGCTGCAGATACTACCTGGGGCCAATGGAAGAGGATATTCCCACAGTCACGTGTGCCTGAACGATGGCCTTTTCATGTAAATTGGACAAAATAAATAGCAGCCCCGATCTTTTAGCAGGAACAATGGATACATACACAAAAAGGTATGGAACCTTCCCTATGGATAAAATGGAGGCCCAGGATAGGCATTTGTCTCACTACACAGTCCACTCTTGGAAGGGCTCCCAGAGGACAATCTTTTATCTAAAGGCATCCTTTGACCCTAAAAAAAGAGAACAGGGTCCCAGAAGTTGCCCACTGGTAGCTAGACAGGTTACCTCCTGGCAGTTTTTCTTGCTATGAGATCTAAATCATAGTAATAATGTCCAGACTTGCAACTACGCCTATAAATCAGCCCACGCAAATGCTATTCAAATCCGTGTCATCTTATGGTCTCTTTCCTGGTGGTGCATTCCCTCTTTTGGGGGTTTTGGACAAGGGGGCACCCTAGGGGTGTTTTCAGTGCATGACAGACAGGACAGCCTCACCTAGGACAGTTCCAGCTGGGCATCCCACAGACTTTCTGCTTACATGAAACCAAACCAGTTCCTTGTGCTACTAAAAGGAAATGTAATCCTAAAAGGAGCTAAGGAGTCAAAGGTGGGGTTTCTCAGAAGCCCCGCAGTGTTCAGTGGCCAATGGCCCTTATTCCCTCCTACTGAGTATTACCAATGGCAATTAAAAACAGGGAGCTTTTCTTCATAAAAGTCTGAGAGGCGAAACCCTGAGAAAAGGACAAATGTAACAGCAATGTAACCCTAAGGTCTGTAAAACCACAGAGTACAGAATACCCACTAAATTTTAGCTCTGTAGTTGCAAGGACAAATTAGGAAAAGATGAAGTATTAGAAATACCAAGTAACTCAAGTTTAGTATGTTTTGCTAGTTCTCATGACAGCAAGATATTTTCAGGTTGGTTTGCATGTGAAGGTAGCAATTTCTGAAGACAGCATTTCAGACTAGGGACCATTGTGTTGACACATTATAATTTTATAGTTTTCTTTTTAAACATCCTGAGCCTTTTGGACAATATCGCTTGGCTTGGGGAATATAAACAGAGAGAGAGGCATGATTGCTTTAAATGCCAGTTGGGAATTATTTATTGAGCGTCTCATAAAAGAGCAAAAATCACCAAATATGATGATCATATTAAAAAAGAACCCAGATTATATGTAATGCATGTTTTATACTACATGTATGCCCATGTATAAAACGGAACACTTTCTATCACATTTTGTGTCACAGTGCCCAAGAGAGGCTATCCAGTACTGGCTAGCCTGCAAAAGTTTAGACTAGCATTTTATTATTTTCAAATGACCAGAGGCATGGACCTAGAAGTCAAAGCAAAGCCGAATCCATACAGCACTGTAAAGTTCATACTGTGGTGCCTCAGAGAGGCAATAAATCTTCCAAAGGATTTCAGAATTGCCAAAGGGTCTTTAAAAGCATCTTGCATTTGATCTTTTCCAACTGCTGATTCTCCTTACTCTTGTATATTCAATTTCTACACATTTTCAGAAGAAAATTAGGTTGCTTTGAGCAGTCTGCAGCACGGGCAATGGGAGTTCAGGTTTCTGTGGCATCCAGAAGATAAAATTGAAGACGAGCAATTGTACTTGCTACTTTTAAGGAACTAGCTGCTGCTTATATTATGTAGTAATGCCCAACTGTGCTGGAAAGATTTTCTCGTATCTGACTCCGGTTTACTTATTTTAACGATGAATATCAGATGTTGCTGCATTGGGTCGAGCCCCTCTGCAAAGAGTGGGAACCAGGACTCATGGAGGCTCCAGCTGAAGGAAAGCAGTGGAGCAGCTATTTTTGTCAACCCTGCCCTCAGCCCCATCTTCATCTCTGTTGTTCTGGGGGTGGGGTCCTAATCCTCTGGGGCAGATTCTCCGGGGCATGGGAGTTGCAGGAGGAGCCATCAATGAGCATCACTTCTGTGCATGACTCAGTCTGGTTCACTAAGCTCTGCTCTGTGCAGCTCTGGATCCGAAATTGTATTTAAATTGTCAAAGTTGTTGATTTTGCAATGGATTTAATGTTAGTATAATTGAAATAAACTGTTTGGGTTGCTTATATTTTAAAATAAACTGATTCTTGATTGTGTACTCTACAGATGAAATACATTCTTGTGTTATGAGCTTCTTTCGCCACATCTGTGAAAAAGTGGCATACCAGTAGCACAATTTACTGTTTTCATTGGTTCAGTCATACATTAGTCTACCTTACTTAATCATTTCACACATAGCTCATGCTCAGGATGACACAACGAACAACAATGACAAAGTACTGGGACTTGGAGATCCAGGTTATAGCCTTCACTTGACCATGAAATTCACTGAATGACCTTGGGCCAGTTGCTGACTCTCAGCCTAATTTACTTGAAAGGGTTGTGTGGAAAAAATAGAAAGGTAAGAGTAGATTATGTAACCTTCTTGGCTTTCTTGTTTGAGAATGGGTGGTGGTGGTGGTGGTATCATCACAGTCACATTCTGGCTGGATTTGCACAATCACTTAGAAAAAGCAGCCAGGATGGCTTTACTTCCAATGCCACCCATGAGAGTTGCCCACTGTGCAATTGGCCTAATTAGTCTCACCATATATGGCTTGCCCTGCTGTCCAAACCCAGTGGGATGTGCAGTGCAGGGTGGTTTCTAAGCCATCTCACAGCCCTACAACAAGCCATGGGCTCTGCAGCAGTCTGGAAACCACCCCTGTGCACCTCACTGGATTCAGGTGACACAGCAAACCACGAGAGTAATTAGGCAAATCATGTGGCATGGCATGCAACTGGCAGAGGAAGGGAAAAAAGCACCAAGACCCTTACCATGAGAACCTGGCCAATATCATAAATTAAAGAGACCATGCAAAGAGGGCTTTGAGGAGGAGATTGATCAGGTAGAAAAGCAATGGACAATTTTTTTGCTGGACAGCAAGCTGGTGTGTTGTAATTCAGTCCCGCTGAAGTCGGTCAATGGATTACTTCTTGACAACTAATCTAAACACTGCACCTCTGATGCCGCTGGAAAAGTCTCAAGATGAATACACTACAAGCAAAGTTATATTCATACAACAATTATTGTCACTTGCCTGAAAACATGTGGTGCAATTAAAATACCACTTTATATAGGATCTGTGTAGAAGTTTGTCTGAACTCCAAAACTAGCCTTCTAATATGCTGGAAACTAACAAATTGGCTTGCATAGGTTTTTAAGAGCGGATGGAATCAATTTCTCCATAAATGGAATTATGGAAGAATGTAAGAGACACAGGTCATTTGAACTGTTGCCAGAAGAAGTTTGTGTATGTCAGTCGCTAAAAACTCTAAAAAACATCTGGCATTTCAAACATGGGCAGTCTTCTTTCGAGGCAGCCTGCATTTGAAAGGCATTACAACTCTACTGATTGAAGTCATCTGTTTCACAGTGCCTTCATGACTAAAATATTACTTCAGGGCCAAGTGTTATAAATGCTTACAGGCCAGCCAAATGTTTGAAAAAGAAAGCTTGCTTTAATCAACTTGGAATGTTTCTGGGGAGTCAACATTGGCTTGCTTTTTATATTAAAGAGCATTGACCAAACCTCAGCCTCCGTCTGCTGCTCCTCAAATGTCGCAGGAAAGAAATGCTGAATAGCCCCCCCACCCTTTCTCAGAACAGTAGATTAGATGAAC